GGAGCCTGCTTTGGATTCTGTGTCTCCCTCTCTGCCCCTTCCCCTGCTCGCCCTCAGTCTTTGTCTCTCAAAAATAAATGCTAAAAAGAAAAAAAAATTTTTTTTAATTTAAAAAGAAAGAAAAATGTGCATCTTTAAACAGTGAAATCACACTCAGCGTGCTAAGATGTTTACCCAGTCTATTTTCTCTTCCTCCTAAACCCACAACTAATCTCTATTTCCCAACCTCCCTTGCATAGAGATGTGGCTGCATGACTGAGTTGTAGCCAATGGAAAGTGAAGGGAAATAGACGTGCCAATTCCCTGGCTTCCCGTAAAAGCCATCCTCAGACAATCCTCCGGGCCCACCTCCCCCGCCTAGCTAATGCGAGGGTGGAATGTTCTTGGAAGTCCTGCGTTGAAAATGGCGGCTTCCCTGAGTCTCAGCTTCAGGAGAGCTGCTTCCCAGTCGGGAGCTCCTGATGAGGACTTAACAGGAGTCAGAAATAAACTTCTGTTGTGATTGAGCCACTGTGCATCTTGAGGTTGTTATAGCAGTGAGGCTTACCGGAGGGAAGAACAGATTCACGGTGCCCAGGCCATGCCCTCCCGGAGGCTTGAGCCAGTTGAGTGGAATGAGCAAATGGAATGTCTTGCATGGTGGTTATTCGTTTATTCTGAAAGCATATACTTGAAATCTGGAAAGCTCTTACTGCACATATGATGTCTTAGTCCATTCGGGCTGCAAGATACCACAGACTGGGGGGCTTATAAACCACAGTCATGCATTTCTCACAGTTCTGGAGGCTGGAAGTCCAAGATCAAGGCACCAACCACCAGCACGGTCAAGTTCTGGTGAGAATTCTCTTCCTGCTTCTTCCTGCCGGCACCTTTCACTTTGTCCTCACTTGGTGGAAGGGGCAAGAGAGCTCTCTGGGGCCTCTTTTGTGAGGTCCCTAATCCCATTCATGAAGGCTCAAGACCTTATCACCTCCTAAGGGCCCCATCTCCAAACGCCATCACGTCGAGCATTAGGTTTCAACATGAATTTTAGGAGCATACAAACAGCCCATGGTAACATATGGCTCCACCATGTTCCTTAAAAATTTTTTTTCTTAATGTTTTTATTTTTGAGACAGGGTGAGACAGAGCATGAGCAGGGGAGGGGCAGAGAGAGAGAGGGAGACACAGAATCCGAAGCAGGCTCTAGGCTCCGAGCTGTCAGCACAGAGCCCGATGCGGGGCTTGAACTCACAGACTGCAAGATCATGACCTGAGCCGAATTTGGATGCTCAACCGACTGAGCCACCCAGGCGCTCCTCCACCACGTTCCTTAGATCAAATTCAGCCTAGACTTTCCCCGCTGGCCTCCTCCAGGCCACTCTGCTGAGCTCAGTCCAGCCACTGGACATGGGACCAAAGGCACAGGCTGACCTCCAGGCCCTACCAGGGGAGGGGACTCACGAGTCTTTGATGCTGGGGCCTCAGGCCTCAGGGGTGTATTCTTCTGAGTGGAGACATTCACACTCCCCTGCCCACATCTCCCTCTTTTTTAGGCCATGGTTTGCTGGGTTTATGTAAGAGACTCCTGGTGTCGCTGTAAATGGTTAGGGTCAAAGAGCCAAGGAGGCAGGGCCGGCGGTGGAGGGAGCCATCTTGAGTGCTGAAAGGATGCATCCCTCTGGAGGGGACAGCTGGTTCACGAGGGACAGTGGGCAGACAGATGGGAATCTGGGAGCAGGCCAGGCAGGGGGACCCCTGAAGCATTGGAATGGCAGCTGAGTAACGTATACTAGCTTCAAGTATAAATCTGTCCCTGCCTAGACAAGTGCCCTCCAAAAGAGGGCACAGGCAATTTACCACAGCCTCATTTGTTTTGGTGGCAGGACCTGGTGAAACAGATAATGGAATTCTGTGCCACCATTAAGCAGACTGCCGACGTGGACGGCTGTGGGCGGTAAACGTTAAGGGTGCAGGCTCTGGAGCCAGGCCAACCAAGATGGACGCCTCTGAGGGCCTCCACCTACTCTCTGGAAAATGGGCACACTAAAAGGCTTGTCGTGCTGTCTAGTACACAGGACAGCGTAGGTGTGGGGCGAAGTGAGGGAACAGACGCACACAAAAAGCACTTGGCACGAGGGTGGCTTGGGAGAGTGGAACAGCACACCCGCAGGATGAGGTTTACGATACGGGAATGTGTGCGTGCAGACGTGGAGAATTTACCGAGACAGACATCTGAGCTCTGAGGAGCCCTGGTCACCTCTGGGGAGGAGCGGGGGCTTAAGGAGGCAGACTTGGTCACGATTTAGTATCTTTGCCGCACGAATATTTTACCTATTATGTGGAAAGATTTCTTCGGTGGCTCCATGTGGCCCTCAGGACAAAACCCAAACGCCCTACGGGACTCCTCGGGCTGCCCCGCTGGCTTGAGGGCATCTCTTACCCGCCCCCCAGCCCCCAGTCCCCAGCGCTGAGTGTTCCAGGCACATCGATCTGTTTCCATTTCCCTGTCTGCAACTGCTCAGTGTGCTCTCTGGCCTCTCCAGGCTCCAGAAGTCTCAGCTGCGAATCCACCCTCTCTGATACATTAACCCTTCCCGCCCCAATCCCTAGCAGCGGTCTAGACACCCACCCGCTTCAGCCACACCTAAGCGCTCCGGGACTTCCGGACTTCCTTCTCCTGTCCCCTCCTCCAAGCACCACCAGACTACTCCCCACACCACCCCCCACATGCTCGCCTGTGACCTCCAAGAGGGCTGACCTAATCCCCTGGGCCTAGCACAGGCGTTGAGGCTCAATACCCATCTGCTAAATTTCAGCTCTCCGGGACACGAAGGCCTCCTGGCCAAGATATTATAAGGATGAAATGATTGGCATCCGCAACCCCCCAGCACAGGATCTGGCATATGGTAGGCTCAATATAGCCTTAAAAAGCAAGCTGGTGCCAGACAGCAGAGAAAGCTCAAATGGCAGGGGTAGGTAGCTATTAGGGACAGATGCCCAGAACTGTTTACGAAGGAACAGTGATTCTCAACATTATGGGGAAGAATCGGTCACCTGCAGTGTATTAAACTTGCGGACCTCGGGGCCCATCCCTAGAGATTCCAACTCCAAAGGTCTGGCACAAGGTCCGGGCAGCTGACTTTTAAAGAAATAATCCACAGGTGATCCAAAGACTGCACTCTTGAGAAACCAACTGATCTGTTCGTGAATATTTATTAAGTGGCTATGATCTGCCAGGTTCAGGTTAATCTTCATTGTGGGGACAGAGGAAGAACAAGAAAAGTCTGTGCCCTCAGGGAGTTTACATTCTGGTGGGGATAGAAAATATGAGGTATACAAATAAATGGAGACAGCCAGTGACGAGGTCATCAAGAAACTAGGCAGAGACAGGGTGCGAGCTTGGGTGGCAGGGAGGGCCTCTGTCTGAGGTCACTGTGGAATGACAGGACAGAGCCAGACAGTAAGCAACTAGGGGAAAGCATCCAGATGAATCTTCTTTTTCCCCAAGCTCCCCTCAACCCAGGCCTTGGTCCAACTGTATCTCAAAGGAAACCAAATCCTGGAGAGTGACGTCCCCCTCCCCCTTTATTACAGAGGTTTTCAGAGCTGGGATAGACCAGACACAGGAGGCTGGGATGGGAAAGGATCTACTCGGCTCCTTCTCTCTTGGCCGTGGGACCGCAGGCTTCCTCTGGCCAGGGGCACAGGCCTGACTCCCTGCCTGTCGAGAAACCTGGCCCCTACCCCATCTCCCTCATTCAGGTGTCTCTGAAGCCTCAGGCCAAGCCAGACCCCAGAGCTGAGCCAGCAGGTGCGACAATGCCCGGTCCTCACACAGGTCTCTTGGTGCCCTAGGAGCACTGCCCGTATGGGCGGGGCCTCCTGAGCATCCTTCCTGATTTGAAGTCCAGGTCCTGGGGAATCCTACTGGTGGGACTGGTCCTCAGGATTTCAGAGAACATGGCATCACCAAGGAGGCCGACGCCCTTCCCAGCAGGCCGGACAACACATTAGGAAGACGTGAGCCTGGGACCTCGCGGGAGTGAGAGGGGGAGCCGCGTGGCACAGCGAGACTCCCAGGGCAGGTGGGCAGCCAGGGGCTGGAGGTTCCGGGGTCACTTCTTCCTGGCACGGTCCGCGGCGTCCAGGGCAGCCATGTTGCGGGCGGCTGTGATCAGGTGGACGACACTGATGAGAGACTTGAGCACCGCGATAGGGGCAGTGACCCAGAGGCCCACTCGGAAAAGACCCACAGAGCCAACTGCAGAAGGGAGCACGGGGAGGATACAAAGAAAATGGGATGCAGGTGAGGGAGAGGCCTGGGAGCTGGCGGCCTTCAGGCCTTCGTCACCCCGGGGCAGGCCAGGCCCCCCTCCCGCGCTCCTGCCCAGCCCCTCGCCTCCTACCTAAAGGTCCCTCGGAGAAATTGAACAGGTAGAGGAGACAGTAGAAGAGCTCGTTTCCAGCACACAGGGTAAACAGAGCGGGCTGCACAAACAGCAGATCGGCTGCTTCAGCAAGGGTAGTGCCGCCCCTCCCCCTGCGAAGGGAGGGGGGACCAGAACCCTCTGCGGATGGGTAGCCATCCGGGAAGAACCAGACCCGGGAAATGGGTGTGCAGGGTGGGGCAAGGGTGAGAGGAAAGAGCAATCTCAGCTCTCTCTTTATTGCTTCTCTCTTGAAACATCCTTTCAGACACGACCTCCGCTTCCAGAATAAAGCCCACACTTTATGGCCTAAGGCTCCTTGCGCACTGGCTCCACAGGCCAATCTGGCTTCGCTCTCTCCTTCCCTCCAGGGCAGGTTCCCCCTCTCTGGATGCACCTGCCCCTCTCTGGGTGCACCGGGCCTCCAGCCCACCTGCTGCCTGCACAAGTCCTCCTCACCAATCCTGCCCTCCCCTTCCTGCCTCAGCTTACAGGCCTCCCCTGCCCCCTCCGGAGAAAACTCTGGGTCGGTTCCTCCCTCCCCCCTCCTGACCCCTAAAGTAAGACTAGGGCTGGGCCCCCGCAGGAGGTGAGGGAGCTGAGGGAATAAGGGAGGGGCAGGAAATGCTCACCCTGGAGGTGTAGTAGATGCGAAGCACGGGATTTCCAGACAGGTCGATCATCTTGTGACTCTCACTGCCTCGGACCACAGAACTTGGGGAGAAAGCAAGGGGAGTCCATGAGCACTCCTGACCACTAACACCCATCTAATCCTCCTATCCACCTTCACGACGTAGGTGCTGGGATCGTCCCTGCCGTACAGAGGAAGTGGGGCACAGCTGAGGACCACGGTCTTGCCTGAAGCCACACAATTACCTCATTGGTAATTACCTAGCAGAGTCAGGATTCGAAGGCTGTTTCAAAAGCCCCCAGCTGTTATCTATTTGGAATTCTGGGACCATCCGGTCTGAAGAGTTTTAGGGATTGCTTAATTCAACTGTGAACAGGACCAAGAGCTGACCGACAGAGGATTTGCCCAGGGTCCTTCAACAAAGGAGAGCTGAAAGGGAGACCTCCCAGGAAGCCGGAAGCCGTCCCAAACACCCTCCCAGACGGCCTCCCCCCCTCCCCACTCTAGTTTCTTCTTCAGCTGGCCGGCACTCCCAGAATCGCAGACCTGTGGAGGTGCAGCCAGTGGCTGGCCACATCCAAGCTCATGCTGAGCTGGAAGAGAAGGGTGGCCCGTGGGTACAGCAGGGCCAGGTTGACCAGCAGACACATGGTGGAGCAGCGGTCCGTCAGCATGTCCAGCATGGCCCCAAACCGGGTCCCTGAAAAACGGGGGCTGTTAGGTGGGAAGGGGCCATCAGGGGCAGGGACCAGGTTTGCTGTGTCTTTCTGATGCAGAGTCTAAAAGAAGCCTGAAAATGTCACCACCCACTTGCCTGGGGAGGAAAACAGGCTGCTGCTATCCGTGCGTGCGGTGTGAGGTCAAAGGACAAGGGTCACCATGCAGGAAATGCAGAGACACAGGAGCGCGTAGCAGGGCCTGAAAAGGCTAGGTCTACAACTCATCAATCCCAGAATCAATGGTCCGGGACTCAAGACAAGCAGACTTAAAGTCTTAGGGGAAGTCTTGCTGGTGGGTTTGGAGAATAGAATAAAAAAAAAAAAAAATCAACCCTCCAGAAACCATCCGTCTTCCCTCTCCAGTCTCCCTCTAAACATGCCTTCTGGAACCTCTATTCCTTGTGCCTGGCACACATGAGACCCCCCAGCAAACACCTGTCGAGTGGATTTTTATTCAGAGACCTTCAGCACTGCCACTGCCACCTCGTCTTGCTTACCCCACACCCTATCAGTAAGTTCTTCTTCAGAGCCCGCTAAAATCCCTTCGGTTACAAAACCAGGCCATTCTGTTCTGCCATACAGAATGGGGCCATGCTCTGGTTCAGTGCCCGCCCGCCCGAAGGTCCTCAGGAAGCAGGAAAAGGGGACCGAGGGTTGTCGGGCCCCAAAGGCTGGTTAGGAGGAAGGTGTCCAAGTCACCCGCCAATTAAGGGCTCGAGCAGCATTCATCAAGCGTCAGGGGTCCATGAGCAACCAGAAGCCGTGAGGGCGGCAGGGCAAGTAGAAAGCGTGGCAAGGCAATCGCAACAGGATGGGCAGAGGCGAAGGGTAGGTCAAGACCCCGCCGAGGCCCCTCGCCCACCATTGGCGGAGCGCAGGCACTCACAATGGTGGCTTTAAACGAGGAAAATATTTTCGCCTGGCATCGCGGCGACTACCCAGCCCAATCAGGTAGCGCTGAGTGCCCGCCGCGCCACCCTCGGCCCGGCTCGGCGCGCAAGAGCGCGCACCGCTCCCGCTGTCCCCACCCTTTGGTGGCCGACTCCTGCGCCCACCGGAGCACCGGCGAATGCATCCAGGCGCCGGGCGCACCGCCTCAGGCGAGCCCTCGCGCCTCAGCAGCCGCCTCGCCACCCCCACCGGGCAAGGCTGGAAGAAAGAAGAAAGAAAAAAAAAAAAAAAAAAAACCTCCAAAAAAAATGGCTGCAGCCCCTTTGAGACCTGCCCGCTTCCTCTTCCTTTTCCTCCTCTGCGCCTTTCTATCGGCGCGCATTACCAAAACAGAGGGAGGAGGGGCAAAGCCATGGGCGCCAAGGAGGGAACCGAGAAGGAGAGGTCAAAAAGAAAAGGAGGCCCCAGAGGAACGCTTCTACTCTTCTCTCCGGAGGTATAGCTGGAACGAGACACGGAGGAGAAAATATTCCGCCCTCTGAACCTACGCGTCCCTGAGATACAAGGTTGTTAGTACAGCCCACATGGTTCTTCCCGCCCTGTCTCATGCTGCTCTCACTCCAGGAGCAGTATGGCTAGAGAGGGTTGGGAGGCGGCCGAGGGCAGGGTTGTTTCTTACGTGCCCCTGGTGGTGGGAGGACTGGGTCCCAGGCACCACCTGTGATCTTCAAAGTTTTTTCAGACTTCTGGTGCTGGGCCCAAGCATCCAGGAGGGACCCAGGAGGTGGAGTGGAGACCAGAGGGCAGGCTTGCGACATGCAGGAAAATGCCCCCTCTGACCCCATACTGGTTCTAGAATCCTAACTCTGGCAGCAGATAGAGCGTCCGCGAACACCAAAGTTTTATGGCGACAGTAGCCGCACCACCCTGACCCCTCTTTTCCCTTCCTCCCCAGCGCCTACTCCGTCCCTGAGACCTAAATAGGGCTCCCTTAGCCCTCTCCGTTTACCTCTTCGAGACTTCAACTCCTGCCAGGTCTGGAGCGTGGCCAGCTGCCTTGATTTGGGAAGGCCTTGGGTGGGAGGAAGGAGGTGTGGGAAGAAGTGAGGTGGGAGAGGATTGTTGTGTGAGCATCCTATTCACTCCCTCCCCAGGAAGATTTAAGGCAGATTTTCCCCCCACCCAGGGGAGGGAACACCAGAGACAGCAGGATGGCTCACCTAAAGGCCTTATTTAAATCTGGCCGAGGAATGGTGATGGGATGGTCTGGGGAAGTGGGCTGGTTCTCTCAGCCTAACACAGGCTCCACCATTCCCCGGGAGGATGGCGTCCGCACACCCACCAGGAATGAGGAGGAAAGGGCAGCAAGACCCCATTGCAACCTCGCTTGAATTGGAGGTCCGAGCATGAAGGGGTGAGATGGGTGCTGGAAGCTCCTAGGCCAGGGGTTAGGTCTCCAGCCTTGAGAGGCTGGCTTCAGCCCTGAGCCACTTGGCCTAGCACTAGGCCTGGGTCCTCAAAGAAACTCCCAAAAAAAAAACACCAAGCATACCCCTACTACTTCCAGGGCCGCCTTTGTCCAAATCTCAGTTTCAGCCCTCCCGGTACCAGACTCCTTAGACCCAGGGAGCCCCAGCCTGAGACTGAACCCAGGACTCCCATGTGGACTCCTAGGCTGAGTCTCTCTGATTTCCCCTTTTGCAGGTTTCATTATCCCAGTTCTGAGGAGTCTGTTGAATCTGGCACAGGAACTTTACTGATGAGGCCCCCCTTGTTGCAGCCTGGCTTCGGCAGAACCCTGCCCACCAAGGAAAAAGCAGACCCAGACAGGGACTCAGGAATGGCCAAACAGGTACCTCCAGGACCACTGTGTCCAGAGACCCCTGTACCCTAGTTTAATCCTGACCCCTCCCAACCACCTTCAGAGCTCTCCAGCAATCTCACATCTCTGACCCTCCCTGGGCTGCTTAGTACTTCCCAAACTCACCCGGTAGCCACTCCCCACTGCTGGCCAGGAATCACCTCAGCCCCTTCCTCTCTAGCCACATCTCTTTCTGGCCTGGGGATGGAAAGAATTGACTGGGGCTTCTACTTCTAGTGTTCTTCAAGACCCGAGGCACCGACCTGCCGACTTGCAATTGGTAAATCTTCAATGGAGATGCCCTTTGTCCTGGGAAAAGGATAAGGAGCCTGGAGGGGAGAGAGGGAGGGTTTGACAACATCCTAGCGGGCAGGGGAATTTTTAAACCGGGAAGTCCGATTCTCTTCTGGTCTGATCCTCAAATTCAGACTTCTCAGCCCTCCCCTTTCCGTCCGCCATCTCTAGTTCTGACAGAAACCGTACCCGCACCAAGACCCACCTCCTGCCATCCCCTCGTGACAAGGTTTGTACCGAGTCCATGAATGACAACGCCATTCAGTATTAACCGAACGTGTGGAGTTCACAGGCTATGCGAGTCCCCGTTTCAGGAGTTTGGGACCCAAAGCTTGGCGATCTGGTCTGCCCCTGAAGAGTTCACGGTGTCATGTGGGACCGGTCAAGTAGATGGTCAGTTACAGCATAATATGTATAAGAGCCCTGTAATAGAAGTAATAGAAGTGTAATAGAAGTGGAAACAGTGAGAAGAGCCCTTATCCCAGCTGCAGTTGGAACAGCAAGGAAAGGAATCATGGGACTTCCTGGAGGGGGTGACACCGAAAGAAAGAATCTTCTGGGAAAAAAAAAAAAAAATGGATTGGTCAGTGTATTCCAAGTGGTAGGGCTTGCACGAGCGAAGACACAAAGGTGAGTCTCACTAGAGTGCATGGGAGTGTATGGATGCTTAGGGCAGGGGAGAGGGTGGGACCAGAGGCAGTTTAACTGTGAGAGGACTCAGGCAGGGTAGCCAGGGACTACTCAGAGACCTTATGTGTGCTTATTAAGATCAGAAGTCACTGAAGAGATTTGAGCAAGAGAGGCTGCAATTTTAGATCAGTCACTCTGGTGGTCAGTGGGGAGAATGACCTGGAAAGGGAAGACCGGAGGTGGAGGCCAGTTAGGAATTGTGCCAAGAGACTGAGTCGGTGATGATTAGGTCTCGAATTGTCACAGTGATAGTATAGATGAGAAGAGGAGCAGATATGAGAAATAAAGACCAGGAAGACTGAGTTTGGTAATTGATTAGAAATGATAGGGGAACAAATAAAAGAGGAAATCAGATGACCCCTCCCTTCCCCCAGGTTTCTGACTTAGGTAACAAGTCTGATGAGCTCATGCTTCTGCTCCGAACTCCACGCTAGTTCCCCATTTCGGAGTAAAAGCCATAGCCCATCATAGCTTATAAGGCCCTACATGATCTCTCTCCTTCCCCTTGTTTGCCCCTGTTCCAGTCATGCCAGCCTTCTCACCATTCTTGGAGTATGGCAGCCATGCTCCCGCCTTTGGACAGATCCCACTCCGTGTGGAAACGTAGTGTAGATAGTTGGAAATACGGCTTCAAAACTCACTGGAGACATCTGGGCTGGCGACAGAAATTGGATTTCGGAGGGAGTTGGCAGTTGAAGGATGTGTGGTTGCCCCCAGAGGTGGGGGTTATGCAGAGTAAGAAAAAAGAGGACCCTGAGGGCAGAGCCCTGAAGAGTGTCTCCGTGTAAGGAGTTGGTGGAGGAGGAGACGGGGGTCATGAAAAGGAACTGACAGCAAATGTTTATTGAGTGTCTTGTTTGTGCCCGGTCCACCAGGTCTGAGGGATAGTCATTTCTCCAGGGCTGCTGCTTCAAATGTTCATGACCAAGACCAGAAGCACAAGAGAGCTGAGAACAATCCACTGTTCTTATCCTCAGGGAGCTGGCTTCCTAGTGCCTTTGGGACACTTGAGGTCTCCCAATTGGGCTTTGGTGTTAGAAGCAGCTTGAAGTAGCAGAAAAACCCTGGGTTAATCTGGTGTCAACCTGATAGTTAGCTTAGATAGGAAGCAAGTTGCTTTCTTCCTCCCCATGTGTCAAATGGGAGCCTTGGACAAGATGCTCTGTAAGGGCCCTACCTGCCCGTACAGTGGTTTCCTGCTTCTTCCCAAATGGCACTTGATTGAGAATTTCATCCTGAGCCAATACCCTCTCATCCCCCCGGGCAGCACCCCATTGCCCCAACGGATTTTTTCCTTCCTCAAGAAAGAACGTGGAAGCCTACAGACCTTTGAATTGCCCCTTGAAATATAGGTCATTGTAGGTGATCGAAATGTTGAGTGGGGGGATGGGTGAGTGGATGGAGAGGGTAGGCAAATGGATGAATGGATAAATGGTTAGGTAAATTCACTGAATGTTCATTGGACACTTTCTATGTGCCAGCAGTGCTGTAGGGGCTGGAGGCTAGAAGTGAGCAAGATAGAGTCCCTGCTTTTGAGAAGTTTAAATGGGGGCAGAGTGATTAGGTGGAAGAGAGGTGAGTGAGTGGATGGATGAATGAGGGATAGGTGGATGGGCAGACAGATGAGCAGAAAGATTGATGAAGAATGGTGGGTTGATATGTGGATAAATACGTGGATGGATGGATGGATGGATGGACGGTGGGTGGATGGATGGATGGTGGATGGATGGATGGATGGATGGATGGATGGATGAGTGGGTAAATAGGGAATAGTGGATGCATAAATAGGTGAGTGGGGTATATGGGTTAGATGGATAGGTGAAGGATAGAAGGATAAGAAGACATGAGCCTTGGGTCCAAGGAATCAGAAGGCTCTTTTGCTTTTCTAGAGAGCTCTGCCTAGCAGCTTAACATCTGGAGGATGACCCCAACCCCCTTTGGTGCTGCTCTTGGCCTCTCAAGTCTTCCCCTGTTCTGTCCTTCTAGAACGTGCATCAGAGCTCCTCTTTCACGAGTCATTAACACTTCACTTTGCTGGGACTTCTGGTCATGAGCAACATACCCCTGGAAGCTTCCTAGGTGTTCAAGAACCATCACACACCTCTCCCCCTCAACTGGCAAGAACATCACCAGAAATCAAAGGCTTTAATAAAAAGACAGAGGTCCTTCCCTCCTCCCAACCCAGGTCATGCTCTGGAGTGACTTCTCTGGGGTGGGGATATGAGAGGGTGGCCCTATCTCCCCCTTCCTTCCTTCCTTCCTTCCTTCCTTCCTTCCTTCCTTCCTTCCTTCCTTCCTTCCTTCGTCTCCTCCCCCCTCCTCCTGCTCCTTTTTTTGTTTTGCCAGATGTGTGGGCATATTGGTGGACAGGAATATTCCATATTATTGGAATGGCTTTAATATAGGCAGTCAACAAACTGTTATCAGTCAACCTGTTGGCAGAGATGAGTTCATGGATCCAAACCCAGCCTCCTAGCCAAACTCCAACAGCTTAAGGTCTAGGCCTCTGGCATCTGAGAAGATACACCCTTGCTTCTGACATCTGAAGAGCTTCTCTGCCACTAATGGCAGTGCTGAGGCCTCCCCTCCAAGCTCTGGGGCCTCATGCCTAGGGGAACAGGTCACACTCATTATAGCCAGCTTTGTAGAGTTTGCATTTAAATCTGAGTGGGGG